TTTTTTTTTTTTTCCTTTTTTTGCCTTCTCTTACTGTGCTGATCTTGCATTTTCTGTTTTGGAGATCACTGACTCCTTCCTATAAGAGTAAGTAGTGCTCTTTCATATTTTCAGCTTTCTCTCTTCTTCCCGATATCGTTAGAGCATAATTTTGGTTCAATCAATATTCAATGCTTATATCATAATTACTTTTCGTTTTCTGCACAATTTTGTCTTTCTTGAAGTTAATAATTATCCTTTTTCCTTTGATTTTTTAGTATTTAACATTGTTATTTCACTCTGGAACTCTCAATTGTCTAAATTTTCTTCTGTTTTAGTTACTTTATATATTCTCGAATTTCATGCTCTAGAATAAATCTGCTAAAGCTCCATTCTGGTCTGGTTGTCCCCCATTCCAGCTATGGAGCTGTCATCCTAGAAAATCCCTTTATCATCATGGGCCTCTTTGCTTCTAAGTTGACTCCATTTCCTAAATTCAACTTTTCCTAGTTTGTTACTCCCTCTTTTGGTAGGGTACATTCTCCCATAGCTTTCCAAAGAACAGTGCATGGGAGATATATATTTTTTGAAAACTTGCATTTCTGAAAATGTGTGTGTTTACTTCTTTCTACTTACATTTGATAGTTTGTCTAGGTTTAGAATTCTGGCTTGGAAATATTTTTCCTTCAGAACTGTGAGGTATTATTCCAATACTGTCTAGCTTCCTGTGCTGGTAAGAAGCATCAATCTGAGTTCAGATCCTGTTTAGGTGATTGTTTTTGTTTAATCTCTGGATGCATGTAGGATCCCTTTAAAAAAATTTTTTTTGGCAACAGTCTCGCTGTGTCACCCAGGCTGGAGTACAGTGGCACAATCACAGCTCACTGCAGCCTCAACCTCCATGGGCTCAAGCGATCCTCCTACCTCAGCTTCCTGAGTAGCTGGGATTACAGGCATGTACCATCACACCTGGCTAATTTTTTTAGTTTTTGTAGAGACAGGGTTTTACTATGCTGCCCAGGCTGGTTTCAAACTTCTGGACTCATGCAATCTTCTTGCCTCAGCCTCCCAAAGTGCTTGGATTACAGGCATGAGCCACTGTGCCCAGCCAGATCCTTATTTTTATACCTAATGGTCTGCAATTTCTTAACACTGTGCCTTGATGTGCATTATTTTAACTCATCATGTTTAGCATTCAGTGAGTAGGCGCTTCCTATCTGAAAACATGAGTCTTTCACTTTTGGGAAATGTTCATGAAGCTTTGAGGATTCACTTCCCTCCATTTTTCTGTTCTTGTTCCCTGACATTTATATTTTCTGATACTGTACCTCTTGGATTGGCTAATTTTCTTCTTTATTTTCCTTCTCCTGTCCTCTGCTCTCTTTTTAGGTAACTTACTCATCTTTTTCTTCTAATCTTTCTACCATCAAATTTTATTTTTAGGAGCTTGTTTTGCTTTCTAATTTTTTTTAAATAAAATTCTGTCTTGTTTAGAGGATATAATATTTTGTCACCCTGAGGATACTGATAATTTTTAAATTTTCCCATTATCCTTGTTTTTTTCCCCAATATGTCTTTTTCTGTTTGTCTGCTTTGGTCTTTTATGAAAATCTTTCATAAAGAGACTTTCCTCATATGACTAGTAATCTTCAAGCATTTCTCACATTTAAGGGTTAAGAACTAGAGAAAATGATTGGAAGCTATGAGCGTGAGAGTGGGGTTTGCCTCCTCTGAGCATCACCGTACAAGCCTTTAAACTTCCTATTTTCTAGCACCTCTGTCCTCAAACTATGTCTGGTGTCTCCCAGCCTAGAAACACTGTTTTATTCTGTTCAAAGAATATCCCAACTGGCTTCGAGGAAGGGTAGTCATCCAATTACCTCATGGCTGAAAAGATCACATGGTTAATAGCATTTTTTTTAAGTAGATAATTTGGTCCATCTACATTTAATGTAGTTTTTACCTTTTTTTTTAAAGTGATTGGGGCAGATTTAGCCCCCAAACACTTAGTCTCATCACTCTCATCTCATCTTGCTTTGCTTATTTTATGTTCCTTTTCCTCTTCTTTCTTGCTTTTCGGATTTTTGTTGTTTCATTTCATCCCAACCTTACCATAAACAGGAAGTCTTTGTAGTGTTCTAATGGTTATCCTAAAATTTATATCATGCATCTTTAACTACCAACATTCCACATTAAATTTTTTTTTTGAGATAGGGTCTCACGCTATTGCCTAGGCTAGAGTGCAGTGGCACGACCAACGTTTGCCACCTCAAACTCCTGGGCTCAAGTGATCCTCCGTCCTCTGTGTCTGCAGTAGCTGGGACTACAGGCACATGTCACCACACCTGGCTAATTTTTTTTTTTTTTTTTTTTTTTGTAGAGACAGAGCCTCCCTATGTTGCCAGGGCTAGTCTCAAACTCTTGGCCTCAAGTGATCCTCCTGTTTTGACATCCCAAAGTGCTGGGATTATGGGTATGAGCCAATGTCCCCCGCTCCACATTAATTTTTAATTTACCTTCCTGCCAATCAATGTAAGTCCCTCATAACAGCTTAACTCTATTTAACAGAGCTACTGTTATTGTGCATTTTAATTCTTTCTATATGTATTTTTCAAAATCCCATGTCATGTTTGTTTCATTCTATATAAACAACATTCATTTTGTTGTACCCACCCACTTATTCATAGACTTTCTTTGCTCTTCATTCCTTCCTACACCTTAGAGTTTCTATGTGGGATTATTTTCTTTTTCCCTAAGGAACAAAATTTCCTTTCCTTTAATATAAAAACAGTCTGCCAGGTGGTGAATCCCCGGTTTTTTGTTTTTCTGAAAAATGTCTTCACTTTGCCTTAATTCTTGAAGGATATTTTCACTGTGTAATGATTTCTAGGTGGCAAGTATTTCCCATAAGCAACTTTCATAGGTCATTCCACAGCCTTGGGATCTTATTGTCACTGAGGAGCCTCCTGTCAGTCTGTTGGTCGATTCTTTGAAGGAAATCTTTTTGTTCTGGCTGCTTTCATATTCTTCTCTTTGTGGTGATTCTGAAGCCTCACAGTAATGTGCCTAGATGTAGATTTCTTTTTATGCATCCCACATGGGTTTCTGCGAGCTTTTTGAATATTGATTGTCAATCATCAGTTCTAAAAATAACTCAGCCATGAGGCCAGCACATGTTGCCTCTGCTTCATTCTCATTTATTCTAGGACTTCAATTAAAGATCTATCAATGAAATGTATGTCCCTTACCTATTTTTTTTTTTTTTTTGGTCTCTCTGTGCTGCATTCTGGATTGTTTCTTCAGAGATATTTTCCAGTTGATTAATTCTCTCTGGTCTAATCTGCCATAAGCCTCATTCACTCAGGTTGTTTTTTGTTTTTTTTTTTGAGACAGGGTCTTGCTTTGTCACCCAGGCTAGAGCACAGGGGACCAATCATGACTCACTCCAGCCTTGACCTCCCAAGCTCAAGTGATCCTCCCATCTCAGCCTCCTGAGTAGCGAGGACTACAGGCATATGCCAGCATGCCTGACTAATATATATATATATATTTTTAAACTTGTAGAGATGGGGGTCTCACTACGTTGCCAGGGCTGGTCTCAAACTCCTGGGCTCAAGCAGTTCTTCTACCTTGGCCTCACAAAGTGCTAGGATTACAGGCATGAGCCACTACACCCAGCCCACTCAATTCTTACAGATTACTACATTTTTCAATTTTAGAATTTAATGGTACTTGTCTAAGTTTTCAAGATTGGCTTTTATCTCTATAAATATAATAAGCATATTTGTTTCATAGCGTTTGTGTTATATCTAGGGATTCAGTATGTCTGTTTTTCTTGTTTTCATTGGTTTTGGCTTCTGTTGTTATGTCTCTTTATGTGCCTCATTATCTTTTTTTATTTTTCCACTTAGGTTGTACTTGAAAATTTATAAAAATAATTTGAGGACTAGGATAGTATTATCTGATTTCAGAGAAATTTTTATTTGCTTCTACTGGGCGCTTGTGGGCACTGGCAGTCCCGAACAGAGGCCTGAGGTTTTCTAAATCACCCATTGCTGCTGCAAACTATACCCCCAATCCAAGGTACAGCACTTTAGGGTTTCAGTCCAGAGTGGGAGGTGGTGCCAGACTTGGACATGGTGCTGATCTTGTCCACCTTCCATGAAAAGCACAGCTGTACCTCTTAGCCACTTTCTTCCTGGTCTGTTTCCACTGTAAAACTGGCTTCAAAAGCTGGCTCTGTGCCTTAGTTCCCTCCCTAACCTTGGTCCAGAATTCCTCAATATTCCATTAGAGTCAGTATCTTATCCCTTTGACCCTTTTATGGTCTTAAAAAAAAATTTCATCCAGTTGTTACAGTTGCTGAACTAGGTCATTCAAATATTAACAGTTTTTTTTAAGTTGCTTTATAAACAGACTTTCAGCCAATCCTCCTATTTTTAGGCTCATTTCTACCTCAAATGCCAGGTCATTTTATTTTATTTTTTTGAGACAGTCTCACTTTGTTGCCCAGCCTGGAGTGCACTGGCATGATGATGGCTCACTGCAGCCTGGACCTCCCAGGCTCATGTGATCCTTCCACCTCAGCCTCCTGCCTAGCTGGGATTAGGGGCGTGCACCACCACACCTGGCTAATTTTTTTAATTTTTGGAAGAAACAAGGTCTCACTATGTTGCCCAGGCTGGTCTCAAACTCCTGGCCTCAAGCAATCCTGCCTCAGCCTCCCAAAATGTTGGGATTACAGGTGAAAGCCACCATGCCTGGCCAGGTCATTTTTAATGTCCATGTTTATGGTATCCCTGTTATTAAAGTTAGGACTTTAAAGGGTTACATAAAAATAATCAACTGCTAAATTCCTTAATACTCAGATATGATATAAAAAACGGTTTTGCTGAACTTAGAACAACCATTCGACTCAGCAACCCTATTATTGGGTATTACTCAAAGGAATATAAATCATTCTACCATAAAGACACATGCATGTGTATGTTCACTGTAGCACTATTCACAATAGCAAAGACACAGAATTAACCTAAATGCCCATCAATGGTAAAATGGATAAAGAAAACGTGACACATACACACCATGTGTATAAATAAAAAAAAATCCTATGCAGCCATAAAAATGAATGAGATCACGTCCTTTGCAGTAACATGCACGGAGCTGGAGGCTATTATCCTAAGTGAACTAACACAGGAACAGAAAACCAAATACCATATGTTCTCACTTATACATGGAGCTAAGTGATAAGAACTCATGGACACAAAGAAGGGAACAACAGACACTGGGGCCTACTTAAGGGTAGAGGGCGGGAAGAGGGTAAGGATCAAAAAACTACCTATCGAGTACCATGCTTATTACCCAGGCGACGAAATAATCTATACGTAAACTCCCCTGCAACACACAATTTACCTAACAAACCTTCATATGTACCCCTGAAACTAAAAAAAAAAAAGTTAAAAAAAATAGCTTTGTTAAAATCAGCAGAAAAGTATTGCCTTTCCTGCCCTCATGCCTTTTAGGCCATAGAAATGTTACTGAATAGAACATATTGATTTTGAACATTATCAAGTTCTAGAAAGAGATCATGGATGATAGGACAGTTTCTATTATAGAAGTTAGGTCTCAAGAGATAACAGGAAAACATGAGGGGCAAAAAGAGAAAAATATAGAAAAGCACTAGGATATTCACAGACTAAATACCTTCTTTACTCTGACAATAGTTATACATGCTTGCCTGATGCCAGCCTATGTAAACTATAAGACTACTTGTCATATCTTAATTAGAGCCTGCTGTCAGCTAGTCAGGGAAAGACCTACCAGAAGAAAAAAGACACAAGTGCAAAAGAAAATCATATAAAATTCCTGTTTTACTCAATATAGTCTTGCTCAAAAGAAAGAGACAACTGAGGATTACCAGAAATTTATGGAAAATACAGCACAAAGGAAGAAATATTAAAAGGTATCCTAATAATTCTCCAGAAAAAGCTGAAAGAATACTGTAGCCGTTTTTATTTTTAAAGTAGTTATTTAGAAAGAGCAATTCTAAAATTAAAAAAAAGGTATTGGGAATAAAAATAAGTTGTTGAACTGAGTTAATAATAAATGGTATTAAGCAGTTATTATTAATTTCCTTTGGTGTGATACCAGTATAGTGGTTGTATCTTAAAAAATGAGAACACCTGGCCGGGCGTGGTGGCTCACACCTGTAATCCCAGCACTTTCGGATGGGCGGAACATCTGAGGTCAGGATTTCAAGACCAGTCTGGCCAACACGGTGAAACACCATCTCTACTAAAAATACAAAAATTAGCCAGGTGTGGTGGTGCATGCCTGTAGTCCCAGATACTCAGAAGGCTGAGGCAGGGGAATTGCTTGAACCTGGGAGACAAAGCTATCAGTCACGATGGTAACCACCAGAAAAACTCCCAGCAAATTACTGACAACGGTTCTGGGAAGTATGATTAAGGAGGTACACCAAGGGGAGATAGAGAGGGTTACAGAATTTTGTGCCATTCTGTTCCTCTGCACTTTTACAAATCATGCAATACATTATTTCTATAATAAAAACAAATTTAATTAACAATATGAATAAATTTTCAGAGAAAATGGAGCATGCTGAATTCAATGAATTCCTTGAGTTTCCTTGTACATTTATACCAAAATTCTCTAATACTGTTGCTCATTTTAATCTTCCATTCCAAAGAATTCCATTAAGTATTTTTACATAATTAACTATTGCTCTATAACATAAATAATGACAGCATTTACCTGGAAAAATATATACATTGTTTCCTTGACCTGGTGTAAAGACTCGCCCATCTGTGAGTTTCACTGGCCCAAATGGACTGCCACTGGCAAACAAACACCTGCCCTGTTAAGAAGATGGAATAACTTCAATTTTGTTATTTTCTGTGGATGACAAAATTGGGGTGAATTCATACAAAATCAAGTCCTGGAGTAAAGTAGACCAATATATTACTTGGAAACAAAGCATAATATACTATATAACAATCTTTTCATTACAATCCTTTGTTAGAATGAGGTTTGTTTTATGTGTAGTATACATTCAATAAATAATTAATAAAGTTAAACATCATTTATTACTAAAAATTTAAAAACCACTTATTTTTAAGAAATTTAAGGCCAGGCACAGCGGCTTACACCTGCAGTCCCAGCACTTTGGGAGGCTGAGGTGGGCAGATCACTGGAGGCCAGGAGTTTGAGACTGCCTGGCCAACATAGTGAAACCCTATCTCTACTAAAAATACAAAAAATTAGCTGGGTGTGTTGGCCCATGCCTATTGTAATCTCAGCTACTCAGGAGGAGAATCACTTGAACCTGGGAGGAAGAGGTTGCAGTGAGCCGATATCATGCCACTGCACTCCAGTCTGGGCAACAGATCAAGACTCCATCTCAAAAAAAAAAAAAAAAAAAAAAAAAAGAAATTTAAAATGTAGATAGCCAATAAATATCATTCCATATTATAAAGACCAATATAAACACCTATGAATGAAGGGGAAATACCAAAACAAATGGCCGTCATTTACTGTATAACTGCTAAAACTAATAACCAAGTACTTTATATGTGTTAACCCAGTTAATTTGCCATCATGAAAACTTCATCATCATCTCCATTTCACAAATTTTAAAAAATCAGAAAACTAAGGCTATTTTCAAAGACTTTGTCAAAAGTCACACATCAAAACTGTAGTAGTTAAATCTTAATCTAGATTTTTTTGTAACTCCACAGCCACAGGTTTTCAATGATGCTGTAATACCCAGCAGTAGGCAGTTTATAACACAGGCATATGGCATGACCATAGTATCACTCCAGGAAAACAAATGGCCTGATGCCTTGTTAAAGCAGAATACTTCTCCAAATTTGTCACATCTATCCAATTTTGATACTGTGCTCTATAATGGCATATAATAAATGTTACTGGCATATTCAGTATTTCTAAGATAATTAATCGTATTATTATTCTTTATAGTATTGTAGACCCTTGGCTTTAGTGGATTTAACATTCAAGAATTTGACTCCAGGTAATCTGAAGGTCAACAATGCAGAGTAAGCATTACTTTTACAGGAAATACTTTCCATTTCAAAATGATACAAGGTTTAAGAGTAGAAGCAAGCTAACTGTGCTACTAGGGCACAGCTGACTATCTTAGACTTGCAACTCTATATTGTTTTATCATTTTCCACCTATTCTATGGATAGCTATTACAATTCTCTATCTGTTCCAAACATTACTTATGACTAAAAATTTTGTTTCTTTGACGATTAAGGTTAGTTCATGGTTAATGTCATACATGTTATCACAATAAGCACATACTTATTTTTCTGGCACCATTAATTTTAATAGTCTTATAAGGTAGATTATACAATATAGCACGTCATGGAAAAAATGTTCTCATGATATCAGTTAAGTTTGGAAATTTAGAAAGATTTTGGTTGGCCGGGCACAGTGGCTCACACCTGTAATCCCTGTACTTTGGGAGGCTGAGGTGGGCGGATCATGACGTCAGGAGATCGAGACCATCCTGGCTAACACGGTGAAACCCCGTCCCAAAAAAAAAAAAAAAAAATTAGCCAGGCCTGGTGGCGGGTGCCTATAGTCCCAGCTACTCAGGAAGCTGAGGCAGGAGAATGTCATGAACCCAGGAGGCGGAGCTTGCAATGAGCTGAGATGAGATCATGCCACTGCATTCCAGCCTAGGCAACAGAGCGAGACTCCGTCTCAAAAAAAAAAAAAAAAAAAAAAAAAAAAAAAAAAAAAGACAGATCTTGGGAATCTCTTCAATAATGACAACATTCTATAGCAGTTCATGTTCTCCAGGTCATTATCCCTGCCTCCCCTGCCCATTTAACCCAATAATTAATCCAGGGCTTAAACGTGGCCAGGTTTTAATAATAGTATATTCTTATTCTGAAGTCCAAGTTGCCCTACGTAAGCAGCTGACAATTCAACTATGAAGATTTTTTTTTTGTCAGTATTTTTCTCGCTGAGCAGCAAAGGGTGTTGGAGTAACATCTCCACAGTGAAAACAAAAGGGGACTAAAAATTTAACAGGTGATGACTACTCAAAATTCTATGCCATTATTTCATGTAACACTAACAAATAATTTATGTAAAAGTAAACTATGACACAATGCTCTTTTTATTATTACTTTTTTTGAGACAGGGTCTCATTCTGTTGCCCAGGCTGGACTGCAGTGGCACAATCACAGCTCACTGCAGCCTCAACCTCCTGGACTCAAGCAATCCTCCCACCTCAGCCTCCCACGTAGCTAAGACCACAGGTGTGCAACACCATGCCCAGCTAATTTTTAAATTTTTTATACAGACAGGGTTTCGCTATGTTGCCCAGGCTGGTCTCAAACTCATGGGCTCAAGTGATCCTTGATCTTAAAACTGATGAAATACAGTATATCAAACTAGTCTCCTTGGGGAATTTTTATGTATTCCAATAATGTACATTTATTACAATATTTATTAAAAAATAAAATTCTTAAATGAGCAGTCTTCTGGTGATACACTACTACTGCTCGAAATACTTAAATTTTTTATATTTTGGAAATGTCAACGATCCATGATGCATTTAATATACTTACCAAATAGTCATTGTAGATGACTAAGATTTAATTTGGGGAGCAATAATCATTAGTTTTAAGTAGTAAAGCCTGGTGAAGAGGACACGCAATCAAACTAAAAGTAATAAAAAGATAAGACAGTATACTAAAGAGACTAATTTTTAAGTATCTGTATGATGATTCTGTGATTTATTTAGAAGAAGAGACTTCAATAATTATTATATCAGTTGGAAACCAACAGTCACGTCACGAGAATTTATTTTGACTAACAGAGTGGCCATATGGAAGCAAAAGAATTTTGAGAGAATACATGTGTCAACATAAAGTTTTTTTTTTTTTTTTTGAGACACTCTTGCTCTGTTGCCCAGGCTGGAGTGCAGTGGCATGATCTCGGCTCACACAGCCTCTGCCTCCTGGGTTCAGGCTATTCTCCAGCCTCAGCCTCCTAGGTAGCTGGGACTACAGACGTGAGCCACCACATCTGGCTAATTTTTTTGTATTTTTAGTAGAGACAGAGTTTCACCATGTTGGCCAGGCTGATCTTGAACTCCTGGCCTCAAGAGATCTGCCCACCTCGGCCTCCCAAAGTCCTGGGATTATAGGCATGAACCACTGTGCCTGGCCTACACAGTGTTCAACAATGAAAAAAAGAATGCCAAATATATCAAGAGTATGAATATTAAGTTCAAGAAGTTCTGAGAGTTCTGCTTTGGCAATGATTTTCTGGGTTATTTCATACCAATTTTTCCTCTGGTTACAATTTTAAAAACCAGATAAAATACATTTTTAAAAATTTTTGTAAGGAAGTAGAGACCTAACAAGATAGTGAGAGTTTGGTGTTGGGGAAGAGTGGTTTCCAAGATCCAAGAGAAGAGGGAAGCAAGATATAGGAGCCTAGCATTTGAAGCTCTTCCCCTCAAGATGACTGCTGACTTCCAAATCAAAAGCTGTGGCTGAGACCCTGAACAGCAAAGCTACCCAAAGTCTCATGATGACAGAGAGGAAAAATGGATGTTCAGGGACCATTAAAGATGAGAGGTGCTGATAAATACCTCAGGACTTTTGATGATTGATACCCAAAGCAGTGGATACCAGGAGAAAGGGCAAACTGGAAATACCCCAGGTCTCATGTGGACCACATCCTGACTGGATTATGGTGATCTACTCGAAAAAGTAAAGTCCCTTTCTCCAAAGATAACTTTAACCACAGCCTTAAATTATTGCTGTAGTTCTTTTTCTACACTATCCATCACTCAATTAAAAAAAACAAAAACAGGCTAGGTGCGGGGGCTCACGCCTGTAATCCCAGCACTTTGGGAGGCCAAGGCAGGCAGATCATGATGTCAGGAGATCGAGACCATCCTGGCTAACACAGTGAAACCCTGTCTCTACTAAAAATACAAAAAAAATTAGCTGGGCATGGTGGCAGGGGCCCAGCTACTCGGGGGGCTGAGGCAGGTGAAAAACAAAACAAACAAACAAACAAA